CAGGGCCTAACCGCGACGGTTTCTTCAAACCTGTCGCGCTGCTCCATGGGGGAGCCTTGAGGAGCTCCTCTGCAAACGCGCGCACAGTGAAGTGCGGTGTCTTGTCAAATCGTTTGCAGATCGCCTTCAATTTGGCGGCTTTGGCAGTCGTGAAAGACATTTTCTCCAAGAGAGTCTTCCGTCCGTTCGCCTTCACGTTGCCGTTCTGTGCCAAGAGGTGCCGCGCGGCGGCCGCCCCTCGCTGCCTCTTGAGACGTCGCACTTCGAGTTCCTTCTTCTTGCGCCTCTCGTTCAACCCAGACTGGAGGCGGTGCACCGCCATGTCTTTCTCTAGCTCCGTGTGAGCGAATACCATCCGCCGGAGGAGCTTGTCGGTAGGGGTTGGGTTGTGCTTGTAGAGGGTGGGCATGTCTGCCGCGATGATGTTGATGCGGTGCCTTCTGGCGACCTCACAGATCTCCTCGTTGACAGCCAAGTTTCTTGCCACAGCTCTCGAGTTCTCCACTAAGATGGTCCGAATCTTGCGCCTCGTTGCCTCCTTCATGAGCTCTTGGAAGCCTGTCCGAGACCCGGCTGGGAGAGAACCGCTAACAACTTCACTCATCTCGCCGACGACATTGTAAATGTTCTGCACGGCGTAATTGTTCACAGCATTCCGCTGGCGCGCGATGCCCGCCCGATCCTGGTTCGCTTTTGAGCTTATCCGTAAATAGCAGAGCGCCTTTCGGGACCGCCTCGTGGTCTTCTGTTTGATTTGTCGGGCCCGCGGGGCCTGTAAGCTCTTCGCTGCATTTTCCGTCTTCAAGGGCAACCACTTCTTCGTTGCCTTGCGGGCATTCCCAGATAGTGCTTCCCCCATGGCAGCAAATGTGGGCCGGTCGGCAATGCTCGACAACGCCGCTAGCAACCGAAACGGCTTCGCACGAGGAAGCGGCGGCAGCAGGTTTCGAAAATTGGCTGGCCCAACGGGCCATAGGCGCGCGGCAACTGGTTGACAATAATTCTAATTCGCGCGCGCGGGGCGGCCATTGGGCCCACTCCTGGACGAAAACTCTCGGGGCCACCCAGAACGCCCCAGGGGAGGGCCATTTTTCGAGGCCACTCATTGGGATCGTGGCCACCGAGGGGGGAGACGCAATCGACTACCCCTCCCTCTTGCCACAACGGCAAGGGCCCCTCAAGAGGGCCCCGGGAACCCCAAGACGCCGCCAGGAGGCCCCAAAGAGTGCTCCAGGGCCAACGGAATGAGGGAAGCGAGCTTATGGCCTCAAAGGGTCTGGCACATGATGGATGGAGAAAAGATGAGAGGACGGAGGGGGAGGAGGAGGAGGACAAAACGGAAGAGGAGAAAGAGGACGAGGAGGAGGACGGGGAATGGTGAAGGGGCCAGGGGGGACTGGCGACCGAGGGAGACAGCAAGGCCGCTACCGATGTCCTGAAATTGCGGCAGGTCCTCTCCTTTTTCTTCAGCCACGCCCGCGCCATTTCCCCAGAGCGCGGGGGGCTGCGAGCAACAGCGCCCGTCACCTCAGCCGTAGAAGCTCACTTTTTCGCGCAGCTTGTTGGTCTCCTTTTGGCGACGAACCAAGGGGAATGCGAAAAAGGAGCAGGCCTTCTAGAAAACGGCTGGGTTCCGGAGGTTTGGCCTCTTAGAAATTACCCCTGTCAGCGTGGAAAACCAGGCAATTTCTTAGAAGGACCGCGGGCTTCTAAGAACTCCCGCGGCCTTTTGGGAAGGCCTGCTCCTTTTCTCTTTCACCCTGCTCTCGCCACCGATCCTTGCTGCGCAAGACGGTGATCCCGTGCTCGTTCTCGTTCGTGGCCTGGCCGTACAAAAAAGATTGGCATACGCACAAAAGCTTGCAGGCATTGCCGGTCGTGTCTTCCTTCTTGACTGCGTCGGCGAGCGCCGAAAGTTGACCGCGCGAAACTGCCGGTACATCTAGGGCGAGCAAGTGCCGCATGAAGGCGTCGCGCAGCCGCTCGCAGGAGTATGTCTTCTGGGCCCCGAAGGCCCGGCACACGGCAAGGTGCGCGTTCGCGTTCGTGATAGACGTAAGCCTTCGAAAATGTAGGGGGGTAGTTCTTTTTATATATCCTTATCGCACGACCTCCTCGTCCTCATTATTTATCCTCCTCCTCCTCCTTCTCCTCCTTGCCCCCATCACCCTGCTCCTCATCGCACCTTCTCGTACCTCGTCATGCCTCCTCCTCCTCCTCCTCGTGCGTTGTCCTTTACCTCCTCCTCCTCCTCCTCCTCCTCCTCCTCCTCCTCCTCGTACTCCTCTTACTCCTCGTTGTGCCTCCTCGTCTTCTTCTTCTTTCCCGCCCTCATCCTTCTCGTTATCCTCCTCCTCCTCCTCGTACCTCACCGTCCCCCCCCCCCTCCTCGTATCCCCATCGTACGTCCCCAATTGCTCTTTCTCCTGCTCGTACCTCCTTGTTCTTCCTCGCGTTTCCTCCCCGTACCTCCTCCAACTCCCCGCCGTCAGCATCGTCATTTTGATCATCACCAGCATGACCACTATCATCATCATCATCATCATCATCATCATCATCACCCTCATCATCATCATCATCATCATCACCATCATCATCATCATCATCATCATCGCCATCACCATCACCACCATCATCACCAACATCTCCATTCTCGTCTTCGTCATCTTCATCATCAGAAGCAGCATCGTCATCATCGCACCTCCTCGTACCTGATCTTCGTACCTCCTCTTGATCGTCATCGTCATCGCCATCATCATCATTGTCATATGCCTTCCCCTCTTTCTCGTCATCGCCCCCCGTCGTACAACCTTGTCGCGATCTGCCCCTCCCTCTACTCCTCCTCATGCTCATCCCTTCTATCGCCCTTCCTCCCTAAATTCCTCCCTGAAAAACGTCTTCTTCGTAGCTCGTCACCGCCCATATCCTCCACATCCTCATCACCACCATCATCGTGATCGTAATCGTCATGACCATCGCTATCGCCATCGTCTTCGTTGTCGCCACCGCCGTCGCCGTCATCATCATCGTCATCATTCATTTGGTTACACTTTTGTGCCTCCATGCGCCCCGCAGCGGCATCTCATTGTGCGTCTTCTTTCCTGTTCGTGCTTCCTTGTCCTCATATTCGTCCCGTTCGTCCCTTCTCGTGCCTCTTCGTCGTGCCTCCTCATCATCCTCATGCTCTTCGTCGTGCCTCCCTCATCGTGCCCCCTCATCCTCGACGCCCACCTCATCATCCTCGTTTGCCCTTCCGGGAAAAACGACCCATTTCAGTTAAAAGGGGTCGTCTTTTGAGAGGCGATGTCTTACATTCGTGAGCTTACATGTTGCTGCCGAATCGTTTCTCTTGCACGTGTCGCAGAATCCTCATCCCCTCTTCCTCTGATCGGCCGGCCCCCAGAGCGCGAATGGGCAGGATTTGACACAGGGAGGAGGAAGAGCGAAGATTCATAATGAAGAGAGGCAGAAGTCCGAAATGGGGCAGAGAGAAAGGATGCCAAATCAATTGTCAGAGCGTCGTGTCTAGTTTTTTTTTCCTATTTCGTTTCCCCCGCCTGTCGTCGCCCTCGTCGCTGGCCGCGGACGTCGCGATGCCCAGCAGGGCCAGCCAGCGCAGGAAGTGGGAGACATTGAGCCTCCAACTCCTGGGGAAGACCTGCGCCACCAGGTCGATGACGCCCTGCCTGGTCAGAGGCAGCTCGCGCGAGGCGTCCCTGAATGCTCTGAAGAAACCGAGCACAGTGCTGGAAGTAATCTTGTTGACGTCCCTGGTTGGGACAAGGCAACTCCCACTCTTGAGGTATCGGCGGGGGGCAAAGCGGAGGCTCGTGAACTCGAGGGCCATGCCGGACATCTGCTCGCCCCCGTTGAACGTGGAAACGAGCTCGAAAATGTCCACCGCCCGGGAGTTCAAGAAAAACGCCGCAGCGTGCCGCATCCAAGGAACGCAACGCGTCACCAAGCCCACGCACACCGTACCGAGCACCACCCACTCCGGCAGTTTCTTGGGGGCCACGGCTCGCACGAATCGCTTGGCTTCCTGGACCAGCGGGTCCTCGGGCACCAACCCTTTGACCTGATGGCAGGGGCGTTCAGATGCCATTTGAGGGGAGGCGCCCTAAGGCGCCGCCCCTGGAGTGGCAGCCGAGCTTACGTCTCTGACCTTTTCCTTCGTCACGTGGTGGCAGAAGGTCATCCGGACGGCGTCCGCGAACGAGAGGGGCTGGCCAGGTGCGCTGCCACTGGCGCTCGTCTGCCACACCGAGTTGGTTTTGCCCATGAACGTGGAACTCAGGAGCTTGATCTTGCTGCGAACCGCGACGTATTCGGCAAGAAGAAGCGCCCCAGCATCGGCACCGGTAGGCATCAACATGGCCATGAGGGCAAGTACCACCTTCTGCTTCTCGGTCACACGTTGCACGCACGTCTTCACAACCGATAGCGCCTGCTTCTGCTGCTTCGAGCTCGGCGCCCCCCCACGCGCTAGCTCCGCAAGGCGAGCCCCGAATGACCTCTTCACGCCACGTCCGCGTTTGATAACACGACGCCTCATCATCGCAGCCGCTGGAGGGTTCGCGAAGGGCCAGGCCGAATTAGTCTGACAGGCTTGAGTCGACACGGCATCGGATACCTACTTCCAGTTGCGTTGGCATGATCAAGGCTCGGGCTAAACACCAAAGTGCCCTTACTTTGATGGTGTTTAGCCCGAGCCCTGACCATGCCAATGCAACTGGAAGTAGGTATCCGATGCCGTGTCGACTCAAGCCTGTCAGACTAATTCGACCTGGCCCTTCGCGAACCCTCCAGCGGCTGCGATGATGAGGCGTCGTGTCATCAAACGCGGACGTGGCGTGAAGAGGTCATTCGGGGCTCGCCTTGCGGAGCTAGCGCGTGGGGGAGCGCCGAGCTCGAAGCAGCAGAAGCAGGCGCTATCGGTTGTGAAGACGCGCGTGCAACGGGTGACCGAGAAGCAGAAGGTGGTACTTGCCCTCATGGCCATGTTGATGCCTACCGGTGCCGATGCTGGGGCGCTTCTTCTTGCCGAATACGTCGCGGTTCGCAGCAAGATCAAGCTCCTGAGCTCCACGTCCATGGGCAAAACCAACTCGGTGTGGCAGACGAGCGCCAGCGGCAGCGCACCTGGCCAGCCCCTCTCGTTCGCGGACGCCGTCCGGATGACCTTCTGCCACCGCGTGACGAAGGAGAAGGTCAGAGACGTAAGCTCGGCTGCCACTCGAGGGGCGGCGCCTTAGGGCGCCTCCCCTCACATGGCATCTGAACGTCCCTGCCATCAGGTCAAAGGGTTGGTGCCCGAGGACCCGCTGGTCCAGGAAACCAAGCGATTCGTGCGAGCCGTGGCCCCCAAGAAACTGCCAGAGTGGGTGGTGCTCGGTACGGTGTGCGTGGGCTTGGTGACGCGTTGCGTTCCTTGGATGCGGCACGCTGCGGCGTTTTTCTTGAACTCCCGGGCGGTGGACATTTTCGAGCTCGTTTCCACGTTCAACGGGGGCGAGCAGATGTCCGGCATGGCCCTCGAGTTCACGAGCCTCCGCTTTGTCCCCCGCCGATGCCTCAAGAGTGGGAGTTGCCTTGTCCCAACCAGGGACGTCAACAAGATTACTTCCAGCACTGTGCTCGGTTTCTTCAAAGCATTCAGGGGCGCCTCGTACGAGCTGCCTCTGACCAGGCAGGGCGTCATCGACCTGGTGGCGCAGGTCTTCCCCAGGAGTTGGAGGCTCAATGTCTCCCACTTCCTGCGCTGGCTGGCCCTGCTGGGCTTCGCGACGTCCGCGGCCAGCGACGAGGGCGACGACAGGCGGGGGAAGCTTTGACAATTGATTTGGTTTCCCTCATCTTTGGCCCCTCTCGGATTTCTGCCCCCCCCCTTCCTCATGAATCTCCACTCTCCCTCCTCACTGTCAAGCCTTGCCCATTCGCACTCTCAGGCCCGATCAGAGGAAGAGGAGATAAGGATTTTGCGACACGCGCAAGAGAAACGATTCGGCAGCAACATGTAAGCTCACAAATGTAAGACATCGCCTCTCAAAAAAACGACCCCTTTTGATTGAAATGGGTCGTTTTTCCCGGAAGGGCAAACGAGGATGATGAGGTGGGCGTCGAGGAAGATGGGCCACGAGGAGGCACGAGGAGGCACACGGAAGTACATGGAGGCATGAGGAAGTACAAGAAGTGCGAGGAGGAGGAGGAGAGTGAAGAGGACGAGAAGGTACGACGGTGAGGGACGCGGCGGGGTGCGACCATGTACAGTCAGGAGGGGGGAGGATGGTGATTGTGGTGATGGCGCGCGGGAGGAGGAGGACGATGATGAGAAGGAGGTGCGAAAACGAAAGAGGATACACAAGCAGTTGTGACTACGTGGCCAAAGGAGGTACGAAGTAGTGCAACCATGAGGAGGATCCTGGTGGTGATAACGCTGCCAGTGATGATGCCGATGGATGGCGATGACGATAGTTTTGGCGAAGATGACGATGATTACGATGATGACGGTGATGACGATAAGACGACCCATGATGACGATGGCGGCGGTGGCGACAGCGGTAACGATGACGATATCGCTGGCCATGACGATTACAATCATGATGGTGCTGACGAGGAGTTGCAGAACATGATGGCGAGGAGAACTTATCAAGTGGAGGTGATAGGGTAAGCTTATTTGGAGGAAGTGCGACGAGGTGTAGGAGTACGTACGAGGGGGCACGGAGAGGCGCGAGGACACGAGGAGGAGGACAAGGAGAACGAGGAGGAAGAACGAGGTTCTCGGAGGGGGTACGATCAGGAAACACGAAAATGAACAGGGAGGGAGCACGACAAATAACGAGGAGGTGGACGACGACGAGCTACGAAAAGGAAATCCGGGGAGGGAGTCCATGCAGGAAGTGCGAGAACAGGGATGAGACAAAGGAGGAGGAGGAGGAGGAGGTTGAGGATGAGGAGAGGGAGGGAAACATCGTGAGGAGTATGCACGTCAAGGGGACGATGACGAAAAAGCAGGGAAGGCATATGATGGTGATGGTGATGGCGATGGTGATGATGACGATCAGGAGGAGGTGCGACGATTTGGTTAGATGAAGTACGATAATGACGATGCTGCCTCTAATGATGACGCTGGCGAAGGCGATGATGGTGATGTTGGTGACGATGATGTTGGTGTTGATGGTGATGGTGGTGACGATCAAGATGAAGATGATGAAGATGTTGATGACGGTGATGATGATGATGATGATGATGATGACGATGCTCACGATAGGGAGGTAGGTAAGGGGAGAAACTGTGAGGAGGTACATGGAGGTACGAGCAGGAGAAAGAACGAGGAGGAGGTACGATTGGGATACGGGCAGGAGGCACCATGAGGTACGAGGAGGAGGAGGAGGAGGCAGAGGAAAACGAAACGGATGAGGACGGGAAGAAAGAAAAAGATCAGGAGGTGCGACGAGCAATAAGAGGACGATGAGGGGGAGGAGGAGGAGGAGGAGGAGGAGGAGGAGGAGGTGGAGGTACAAGGATGATGTACGACGAGGCACGAGAGAGCGCGACGAGGAGCAGAATGTTGAGGGCAAGGAAGAGGAGGACAAATAATAAGGAAGAGGACGAGGAGGTCGTGCGATAAGGATATCATAAGACTAAGGCCCCCTAGATTTTCGAAGGCTTACGTCTAGCACGAACGCGAACGCGTACCTTGCTGCGTGCCGGGCCTTCGGGGACCAGAAGACATACTCCTTCGAGCGGCTGCACGACGCCTTCATGCAGCACTTGCTTGCCCTAGATGTACCGGCAGCTTCGCGCGGTCAGCTTTCGGCGCTCGCCGACGCAATCAAGAAGGAAGACACGACCGGCAATGCCTGCAAGCTTTTGTGCGTATGCCAATCTTTTTTGTACGGCCAGGCCACGAACAAAAACGAGCACGGGATCACCGTCTTGCACGGCAAGGATCGGTGGCGAGAGCAGGGTGAAAAGGGAAAAGGAGCAGGCCTTCTCTCAGAAGGCCGCGGGACTCCTGAGGAACCCACGGGTCTCCAGAGACATTTTCCGCCGTTCTCAGAAGGCCTGTTCCTTTTCATCCCCCCCCCCTGGGCTTGTCGCCTGAAGGAGGCCAACAAACTGCTTGCAAAAGTGAGCTTCTACGCCTGAGGTGATGGGCGCGGTTGCTCGCAATCCCCCGCGCTATGGGGAAATGGTGCGGGAGTGGTTGAAGAAAAAAAAAAAAAATGAGAGGCTCTGCCGCAAACTCGGGACACAGGGGCGCCGCGGACCTCCCAAGACCGTCCTTCCCGTCTTCTCCGCTCGCCGGATTCCCCCTGGAGCCCTTTACCGCTCCCCATCTTCCTCGTCCTCTTTCTCCTCTTCCCTTTGGTCTTCCTCCTCTCCCTCCGCCTTCTCCTCCTTCCCTGTGCTTTGGAGAACAGGAGGCAGACAGGAATCATTTTTTCTCACAGGCCATTCGGCATTGTTCCTCTGTGCGGTGTCAGGCTGGTGGCTGGCAGGGCGCTCGTCAAAGCTATTGTTCCTCCTCCTCCTCTTCCTCGTCCTCCCCCATTTCTTTCTTGACCCTCTCGTCCTCCTTTTCTTTCTCGTCCTCCTGCGTTTCCTCCTCTTCTTGTCCTGGTCCTCTTCGTCCTGTTCCCTCCCCTCCTCCTTTTCTCTCCTCTTCCTTGACCTTCCCCTCCTCTTCCTCGTCCTCTTCCTTGATCCTGGGGACGTCCTGGTGTACTAGCTGTTATAGCGTACCGAAGACGCCTCGGTCCCAAGTTCGAGTTGATCGCGCCCCTTTCGGCGCCACATTGGCCACTCGGGCCGCGCGACGCCCGAGCGAATGAACATGACCAGGGTATTCTGCGAGCGTGTGCAAAGGGGCGTTCGGTCTCTGCGGACAAGGCTAACCGGCGGATGGGGAAGCGGGGAACGAACGGGAACATGACTGGATGAGTTAGACAACAGGGGGGATAAGGGAGAGAAAACGACGACGACCAACTCAGCGACCACGACGACGAAACTACGCCGACGATGACGGCAGCGGCGGCGACGACGAGGATGCTGACGGCGAGGAAACGGTTAAGAACATGACGACGACGGCGACGGCGACGACGGCGACGACAACCATGTCAAGGTCATTGCAGGTATTTCTCTCTCGAGGCGTCCTGAAGCCTCCTGGGGCCGTCGCGGGGCCTTTTCGGGCAATATTTGAATACTCCTGGTGACCTTGGTCCTCTGGCAGGGCCTCCTCGGGGCCCTATTGGATCTCCTTCGGGGGTGCGTTGGGGCTTCCTTGGGCACCTTCGGAGGCCTTTCGGGTCCCTTTGTGAGGCACTCGATCATACGAGGCGCAAGGTGCACCAGGGCACCCCAAGCAGAAGAAATGAGACACACTTGGTGCACTTTTGGGGCGCTCTTGGGCCTTTATGGAGGTCGTCATAATCGTCTTGGGACCCTCCTGGAGCTCTCGATAGCCATGTTGGAGCCACCTTGGGGCCTCGCTAATCGATTGGGAGCGGGAAGGCGGGAAGGCGGGAAGGCGGGCGCACATTGAAACCGCGCGCGAATTTGAATGGGCTCGGTTTCTTGTGTTTCTTTTGTGGGGGTTCTGTAGCCACTCGCAAGTGCCTTGTAGCGGCCATGGGGCCTCTTGCAGGCGTGCTGGAAACTATCTTGCACCATTCTAGGCCTGCAGGCCATCCGGGACTATCTAGAGCCCTCTCGGAACAATATTGAGCCATGCTGGTTGCTTTGAGTCAATGTGGGGCGACCCGTACATACGCAAGGGAGGGTTAGGGGAGAGCCCCCCCCGAAACGGAAGAAGGGGGTTGGAACAGCGAGTTCTATACATTGTGGCACGATCCGAAGACTCAGAGTTTGCACCCATGCACGTTCTGGAAAACTGCCTGTCGCATGCCAGGCTGGGCGCTTTTGGATTTACAAATGATGGGGAGATTTCGATTCGGAGGTGCTCGGGCCCGTTCGAGTTCGAATGCCCAGCCGAGCCCGAGAGTCGTTCCAGTCTACCATAGCGCCGCCCCGGCCGCCAACACGTTGCGAGAGTGTTAACGAACTGCGTGGCCTTTCTTTGCATGCTCACGTTCGCACGGTGCGCGCGAGCAAGGGCCCCCCCCCGTCCCACGCGTTGTGGCCAACCCAACAGGCGAAGCATGATTGCATTCACTCAGTTTTTCGATCGAATCGTGCCTCTCCTCAACCTCCCTCCCTGCCCCCGCGCCTCGTTCGGAGCGGCTGCCCCTGCACAGGCGCTCGGCCTTTCGGCGGCATCAGCTTGCAGCGGCCCTGCCGCTGCGCTGGCGCCTCGGCGAGGCAACGCAGGGGCGGCGGGGAAGCAGGATGTGGCGTCGTCCTCGTCGTCGTCGCGTCGCCCTCAAGCATTCGTCCTCGTCGTCGTCGCCCTCGTCGTCGTCGGCCGCGTTCGCGGCGGCGCGATCCGCCCGGCGACCCGCCCGCGACCCGCCCCGCGACCCACCCGACCCACCCGGCGACCCACCCGCGACGCACCCGCGACCCATTTGCGACCCACCCGCGACGCACCTGCGACCTACCCACATTGGTATAGCGAAAAAATCGGCGCCTTTGGCGGACTCGTCGTACAATTTGCGAAGCTTTGGCGCCTGCGGCGGGCTTCTCCAGAGTCTCGCAAACTGCCGACGTCCCCACCGCCCCCTCACTCTTACCCGCATCTACGGGGTGCTACGGTATATACATCTGTATACTTAAACACATATATCGCTCCTGGCTCACCGCTCCTCGCAACAATCGACTCTCGCTCTCCTTGTTAATACTCGATCACATCGAATCACACCATATCACACGT